ATATAACAAAATAATAATAATAATAATAATAAAGAGAAAATATAAGCATCATCGTATTTTAAAAATTCTTGATGTAAAGTTTGGATTTTATTACAGAAAACGAACTTCTTAAGAAGTTTACTGGGTTCTTTCTTGTAAACTGAGCTATATTAATTATTGAAGGGAGGGAACTGCTTTCGTACCTGCTCGGCTAGACGGAGCAAATACAAAGTTAAGTTGATGGAAGGTGTTTCGCTGTAATACACGGTGTAACCCCATGCGCTTCCGCACCATTGACCTCCAGTCGCTGGACGACCTCTCTCCCGTATGCTCATGTAACCATCCGGGCATCCTTCGGACGTGAAGGATAAAAATCGACCCACGGTGAACGTGTCGAATGTTAACTGTAATTTCAATTACAGGGATTTTAGTTTGATAATTTCCATTGCGATTAATTGAATTAATTAAATTAATTTATATATATAGAAAAATATAAGCCTGTACTATTAACATAAGTTCACAAGCGTTCAATTGTTTCTCCCATTCTTTGATCAAAGCATATTTGAAAAAAAAAAAGACGGTTAAACAGTTGAATTAAATTATTGAATTAAACATCAACATCTGAAATGGATTAAAAGAGGAGAAGCCTTGCAGTGACCCAGACAAAACAAAGAAAGCAAGAAAGTAAAGAAGAAATAGAGAAAAAGAAAAGAGAAGAAAGATATAAAGAAACGAGGATGATTGAACAAAAGTAAAATAAAAAAACTTACAAAAATAATTTTCGAGAGACAATTTTTTTTTTTTCGTTAAACACCACTCGCGCGCGTCCCTACGAGTGGAGAAAAAATTATTGTCCGCAACTACTGTCTGCCTCGTGACAGTCCCCCTCCACTAGCGCAATGCCGAGTCAGCGCTTTATTTTTCTACGGATTGAACGCTCGCGTTCACGCGTCCTTCTCTTTCCTTCCCACCTGAACTAGGTCCCCCAGATCGGAGCCGGCGGCAGTGAAGTTGAGATGACACAAGAACGGCAGTCGATCCTCCCTCGGCCGGCGGACTTCC